CATGTGTGTACGAGTGGTTGAGCACGTTTCCGTGAACATGTGTGTACGAGTGGTTGAGCACGTTTCCGTGAATGTGTGTATAAGTGTTTGAACACCAGTTTCTGTGAACATGCACGTACTAGTGTTTGAACGCTTGTTTCCGTGAACATGTGTGTATAAGTGGTTATTTGAGTACCTCTTTCCAGTTCTCTTAGGTGTATATCCAGGAGTGGAGTTGCTGCGCCATCTAGTAACCCCATGTTTAACCTAGGGAGGGACCGCCAGCCTGTTTCCATGGCAGCTGCACTGTTTACGTCCACCCCACTCCTATGTGGGCTAGGGACGAATTGCAGCCAGGTGTGGCCCCCCTGGGCTCCCGCTGCCGGCCAAGGGCCAGCCCTCCCAGCCCAGGGCAGACTCGTGTCCTTCCCGGAGGGGGCAGCGTTGGGGCGGCCTCTGAGCAGCACCCGAGTGTGGGTGTTTCCACCACCCATCAAGCAGACCCTGGACGCCACTTGTCGACCTTGCTGAGGCCAGGGTGAGGTCCACAGAGAAGGCGGAGAAGCTGAGGGAGGCTGGCCCCTTGCAGAAGGCTGGGCGTGGCGTAGGTGACCTTCTGTCCATGGTGCGTGAACGACAAGGGTGGTGGATCCAAAGTACTTTCATTGCAGTGCATAATCAATACAAAAACATTAAAGAGAGCTGCTCCCTTCTCTTCCTGGGTGTCTTCGGAAGCTGGTGCGTATTCCACATACATGGCACACCTCGATTCTGGACGAACCTCATCTCAAAAGCGCAATGGCCACCTGTGGCCCATGGCTGCCACCTGGAGGCATGACCCAACCAGGCTCGGGTTTCTGTGCGATGACTCTGCAGGTGTCCTTTCTAGTTTTTTGTGGAAGGTACAGAGTTGTCTAACAGGGCTGTCACTCTAATCGCTTCTTTCTTCATAATGATGATAGACCCATTGTCATCGAGTCGACCCTGACTCACGGCGACCCCACGTGTGTCAGAGGAGAGCTGTGCTCCATAGAGTTTCCTATGGCTGGATTTTCAGAAGTAGATCACCAGGTCTTTCTTCTGTGGCACCGCTGGATGGATTTGAACTGCCAACCTTTGAGTTAGCAGCCTAGCACAAACTGTTTGTGCCACCCAGGGACCTATCTAATGATATAAATAAGTAAACATATATATGTATGTATAAATGTATGTATATACGTATCCTTGTCTCTTTCAGCTCTGGTCTCTGGTTCCTTGGGATCTCCATGCGGCATCCATCATCGCTGTTTGTCCTGCTTGCTTGCTTTTGTGCCTGATCTGCTCCTTTATATCTCAAAAGGGATTGGCTTAAGACACACCCTACGCTGATATGCATTCACTAATAAACAAAGAAAAGCTTATGTCCAAATAGGATGACATCCACAAATATAGGGGTCAGGATTCACAATACATATTTTTTAGAGGCACAATTCTATATGTATCTAAACCTGTTGCTGTTGAGTCAATTTCAGCTCATAGTGACCCTATAGGACAGGGTAGAACAGCCCCATAGGGTTTCTAAGGCTGTAATTTTTATAGGAGCAGATTGCCAGGTCTTTCTCCTGTGGAGCAGCTGGTGGGTTCGAACCTCCAACTTTTGGTTAGCAGCTGAGCACCTAACCATTGAGCCACCAGGTCTCTCTCTCTCTCTCTCTCTCTCTATGTGTATGTATATATATAAACCAAACCCATTGCCATTGAGTTGATTCTGACTCATAGCAACACTATAGGACAGAGTAGAACTGCCCCGTAGGGTTTCCAAGGAGGGGCTGGTGGATTTAAACTGCTGACCTTTTGGTTAGCAGCCAAACTCTTAACCACTACACCACCAGGGCTCCATATATGTATCTGTATGTATGTGTGTATGTCTGTATGTGTGCATGCAGGTATGTGTATGTATATATCTGTGTGTATGTATATATGTATGTGTGTATGTGTGCATGCATGCATGTGTGTGTGTGTGTATGTATGTGTTTATGTGTGTGTATCTATGTATCTGTACGTGTGTATGTATGTGTGTATGTATGTATGTGTATGTGTGTATGTACGTATATGTATGTGTGCATGCATGTATGCATGTATGTATGCATGCATGCGTGTATATATGTATATTCTTTTACCTTCCATAGGAAGTGATGGTAAGAGCTCCAGTTCTGCCGAGCTTCTCCTTCCTGCCAGCTGAGGGCGCCACAGAGACTCTCTACTGTGATGAGCGTGTCTTCCTGAGCCAGAGTTACCAGGACCTGAAGCCGGTGGTGGCGGGCGGTGAGGACAGCCCTGCCCCTCAGAAACTCCACCAGCTGTCCGGGGAGTCGGCTGATGTGAAGAGCGTGTCCCAGAGGGCGGGCTCCGTGCAGGGCAAGAGCAGCAATTCGGAGTTGCTGCAAGGGCCGGACGACGCTTTGGGGAACACGGACAAGTGCACCCAGTGCAGCAACAATACCTCCTTTGATTCCAACCTCTGCGTCCGTAGCTTCTCCATTCAGCTCTCGCTCGACCTCCTGGAGCAGAGTGCCCAAGCCTACACCTTGCTCAAGGCCCCCTGCTTGGGCGACAGCAGCTCCGAGAAGGTGACCTTGGATGCCAGCAGCTCCAACAAGGGGACCATGCGGAAAATGGCACTGTGCATGATTGAGTGAGTCACCAAGCTGGCAGGGCAGAGTGCCGCGTCAGCGTGGGCCGTGGTCGAGGGGCCTCTTGAGGGGGTGTTTCTAGAAATATGTCTGATTGCTTGAGCGTCTGCGGGGCCAGTGACTCACACTGTGCAAAGCCAGCAGGTTCCAATCCCAACGCTGTCCTTGCCTGAACAGCCTGATCACGGGCCCTGGGGCATCTTTATGGGGCCTCAGGTGGTTGTCCCCTGGGTGGTATCTGTAATGACAGGCATGGGGAACCCAAGAAACATGTCCTGGGAGGCACGCAGGTGCATGCCAGGCATCATGCAGGTGCTCACACCCACCCTCCCACCCCCACACACCTGCCCACCCCTGGGTCTGGACCAGTGGTTCTCAGACGTGGCTCATGCACCCCTGGGGATCCCCAGGACCCTTTGAGGGGGTCTGCGAGGTTGAAACTATTCTTGTAGTCACCTGAAGATGTCACTCACCTTCTTCACTGTGCTCACCTTTGCACTGATGGTGCAAACGCAGCGGTGAGCAGGACGGCAGTGCCACGCATGCCTCGGGCACAGCTCCAGGTGGCCAGGGTCAGCTTGGCATCCTCTCGCCCCTACGTACCAGCAGCAGGAAAACACCACGCACTCAGCAAAGCAGAAAATGTTACTGATTAATTCCATTAAGTCTTGACCCCAGAGTCAACCAAATGGGAAGGACACACAGAGCTCTTTTGCTGCAAACCCTGGGACGGTGGTTTTCTCGGGCGAGGTCCGACCCCCATCGCTGGAGGGGCAGACTCAACTGGTCACTTCCCCCCACAGGTACCATGTTTTTCTTAAATGAATGGCCAGCTAGCAAACTATGGTGATTCACACTTGGGTATTTGGCAGATGTTTTCTTGAATCTGAACATAGCCTATCTCCTTAAGGAGAATATCTGGCCGCGTTGGTCACTGATGACGAACGTGAGCTTTCACGCGAACAGTTTGGGAAACTCTCGTCCACCACAGAGACTCTGTGGATCCTGGTACTGGAGGACGGTTCCGGTGAGATAGATGATGTTATTTGTGAATGTGATTTTCTGGTCTTGTGTAATGACGTGTGTCAACATTGGGAAGATCTGCACACCTCGGGGAGCCAGTTTTTCACGAGTGTCCCAGCCCTGACGTCCTGCAGTCACAGGTGGTAGACAGCCGGTTGCAGCACCGAGTAGACCAGTGGTTTGAATATGGCCAAGACCGAAAAGTTCACCAACATGGGTCTCACGTTCTTGTAGCAGCCAACTGAACTGCTACTAGCGGATCGCCCAGACTAAGACAGACTAGGAAGAAAGGCCTGGAGATCGACTTCTGAAATCAGCCAATAAAAACTCTAAGGATCACAATATTCTGATCTGCAGCTGATCACGGGGACGGCACAGGACCGGGCAGCGTTTCGTTTCGTGGTGCATGGAGTCGCTATGAGTCGGGGAGCTGACTTGATGGCATCAAACAACAACAAGGAAGAATATCCACAATTATCTGGAAAAGCTACTAACGTACTCCTCGCTTTACCTTATGCGTATCTGTGTGAGGGAGGATTTTTTTCATTCACTTCAACCTAAACGACATATTGCAGCAGATCGGAACTCAGAACTTAAGCCAGCAACTAAAGAGAGAGATTTACCATGAAGGCGTACACTAAAGAGCTTCACAAAATATGGAACAATGCCACTCTTCCCACGCATTGTTTTTGTTTTGGGAAATACAGTAACTTTCACAAAAACATGTTATTTGTGTTAGTATGCAATAGGTTTGCTGTTGTTACTTTTTACATGAATTAGAAAACATTTTTGTATGTCTCAGATTTCATTTGTAATACAGTAAACACTGACAGAGACCCCACACAGACAAAAGCTCTTGGGGTCCTCAAGGATTTTTAAGCGCATGAAGGGTTCCTGAGGCCAGTGTGAGAACCGCTGCTCTAGACTGATCCGTCTCTCCTGTGCTCCTTCCTCTTCGTCCCCTTTGCCCCCCACTCCTGCCGTGCTGGCTGTGGGGTCGGCAAGTCTAGCCAGGCGCTCCACTGCCCTGCTGTCTCTTCAGCCCCTCACCCACAGCCCGGTCCCCTCTCTCCTTCCCTTCTCAGCCCACCTTGGGGGGCATTGTCCCTGCCCACACTCCTCGACCTCAGACCCATGTCTCGGCACGGCTTCTGCAGTGGGGCCGGCTGGTCTTCTGCTCTGCTTGCTCATGTGCTTCCCCAGGCAGAGTAAGAAGGGTGTGCTGGTGTGTGTGCCTGTGTGCATGTGCACGGGTGCGTGTATGTGTTGCAGGTGTGCATGTGCACAATATGCATGTATGTGTGCACGTGTCCGTGGGTGTGCACGTGTGCATGTATACGTGTGTGCTGTGTGTATGTGTGTGTATTTGCAGGTGTGCGTGGTACGTAGTTCTCTCACAGCATCCAGAGGGTGGGGTGGTCCCTGCCCCATTTCACAGCTGACCTCAGTGAGGATAGCAGACCCACCCAGGCCCCCAGCCCAGGAATCCCAGAGCTGGATTTGACCGTGGCGGATGGGCCCCAGGCTGGCTTGGTTTGGGTGGGACCAGTGTTTTTGGAAAGATGGGGCCCTGGGCGTTTTCAGGAAGGGTGTGGACTGGCCTGTCCTGGGGTGCTGTCCAGGCAGCTGGTGCTGAAGCTGTCTGTGCTCCCCTCCAACGTGTGATCCTTCCAGACACAGAAAGAGGTGGCAGACCATCCAGCTGCTGCTGCACCGAGGCGCTGACCCCAACCTGGGCCGCGTGCCCATGCAGGTCCTGTTCTTCGCCGTGAAGGCCGCGGACGTGGATGGCGTGAAGCTGCTGCTGGAGAACGGGGCGCGGACTGACATCCAGCTCCCCCCGCAGGTAGACCGGGGAAGGCGCGGGCAGGTGTAGGTGAGAAAGCGCCAACACTTTGACACCACAGGGTATGCTGGGGTTTATCCGTTTGTCCAAACTCTTGGCTGTATTTCTCTGACTCTCTGGTTTGAAGGATCACACAGGTATTTCTCTAATTGGAGGCTGAAACTACTCATCAGTCTGTGCTCAGAAAACAAATGCTAATAATATCACAAGTGGCAACAAGAACTCTGGATGAGTGACAGTCCAACATCAGAGCCACCTTTGAGCACCCCAGTTCTGGCCCGGTACACATGGGCCGTCTGATCACACTTGTGGTATTCTGTTGTTTTGTTCTGATTATATGAACACATGTCCAATCAGTTATTTAAGCTTTTTATTTTATTTAGATGTCGATGTTCTAATAGAGTCCCTGGGTGGTGCAAATGGTTAAACGCTCGACTGCTGACCGAAACATTAGAGGTTCGAGTTCACAAGGGGTACCTCAGAAGAAAGGCCTGGCTATCTACTTTGAAAAATCAGCCACTGAGAACACTAAGGAGCACAGTTCTTCTACTCTGACATGTGTGGGGTCTCCATGAGTCAGAGTCGACTCCATGGCAACTGTTTGTCTTTGAATGTTCGAATAGCTGGCAGTTTTGTTCTGCATCAGGTCCCTGGGTGGTGCAAACTGTTGGAGATCAATTGCTAAGCAAAAGATTGGCAGTTCGAACGTACCCAACTGCACCATGGAAGAAAGGCCTGGCAACCTGCTTCTGTTAAGATTCCAGCCAAGAAACTCTGTGGAGCAGTTCTACTCTGAAACACACGGAGTCACATGAGTTGGAGTCAACTCGATGGCAATGGGTTTCGGTTTTTTTGATGTTCTAATAGCTGACAGTTTTGTTCCTCATTGGCTGTTACTGACTAGTCGTTGCTCAGTGACGCCCCCTAGTGCTAGAAGGGCAGGTGGGAGCTCATCTTCCAGGCCAGTCTATTAGCCTGGGAGCCCTGTGGCGCAGTAGTTAAGAGTTCGGCTGCTGACCAAACGGTCGGCAGTTCGAATCCACCAGTCGCTCCTTGGAAACGCTGTGAGGCAGTTCTCTGTCCTATAGGGTCCCTATGAGTCAGAATCAACTCGACAGCAACGGATTTTTCTATTAGCCTGAAAATGAAGCTTTTCTTCTGAAAGATTATGCTGAAAACCAGGATTAGTGAGCACCAGAATAATTTCATAATAGCATTTTAGGTTTAATGATTGGACTCCATCCTTGAGACTGACTAAGGTTGCAACCTTTAACCTTGATAAAGAGCTCAGCTGCTAATCAAAAGGTTGGCCGTTTGACCCACCAGCTGCTCCGAGGGAGAAAGATGTGGCAGTCTGCTTCTGTAAAGATTACAGCCTTGGAAACCCTATGCGGCAGTTCTACCCTGTCCTATAAGGTCACTATGAGTAGGAATCAACTCGACAGCAATGGGTTTTTAAAGACTTCATTCATTCATTCATTCCTTATGGCCAGGAGTATGTTATTTACACAATCCTCTTCTAAACAGAAGGTTTGCCTTATTAAAATGCCCCAGTGGGTAATCCACATGGTTTACAAATGGAAACATGGCATAGAGGGGCCCCACTCAGTCACTCTGGCTGGCCCCCCTGTCCTGGCTCTGAGTGGGGGCACACCCCTCTACCTCCTACATCAGAGGACCCCCCTGGGGCTGCTTCTCCAAGGGCCACTTGCTATCTCAGCTGGGGAGGGGCAGGCAGGAGGCTGGCTTCCTCTCTGGCTGGCTGTGCTCCCCATCTTGTGTGGCTACAGCTGACTGAACACCGCCCACAGGGACGGCCTCTCAGGCCTGGCTCCATGGGAGGGTAGAGAAGGGACCATCTGGGGCTACGGCTGGGGGAACAGCCAGCACCCCTGAAAATGCTCAGCAGGCAGGCTCGTTCTGATGTCCCATAAAACCCACTGCCGTCGAGTCAGTTTGGTCTCATACCAACCCTGTAGGACAGAGTAGAACTGCACCATAGGGTTTCTAAGGCTGTGATCTTTATGGAAGTAGACTGCCACATTTTTCTCCCTCGGGCTCTCTGATGTCAAGAGGCAGAAAAATAATAAATTAAAATAAACAAGGAAGAACCTGTTTTTCAGGCAGCTCAGTGCAGCGTCAGGGTCTGGGGAGACCAGATGGGAGTCCAGGGGGTCCTCATGGGGATAACAGAGTCTCCTCCTGAATATCAGTCCTTGTTGAGGGAAGTCTTTCCTGCATGAGTCACCGGAGCTGCCAGTGGTCACAGCCAGCCAGTCCGTGCAGGTGGACTCAGCGAGGGCTGGGCAGGGCACGGGAAGGGGCTCTTCTTGGAGGATGTCCAGGACAATGGCTCAGACACAGGGATGATGGCTCAGACACAGGGACAGTGGCTCAGGCACAGGGGCAGAGGCTCAGATGCAGGGACAGAGGATCAGACACAGGGACAGCGGCTCAGACACTCAACAACTGGCAGAACCCCCACACTGGATCCCTGACAAGTAGAGTAAGGGCTATTACGGTAGGGAAAGCCAAGTGGAAGCTATTAGAACTGCCCCTACCTAGGAAAATAGTAAACAAAAAGCAATACCACATTCCTAGAGGGATTGCAGAGATTACTGCCACCATCAAGGACTTGAAGGTTGCAGGAGTGGTGATTCCCACCACATCCCCATTCAATTCGCCTATTTGGCCTGTGCAAAAATCAAGTGGCTCTTGGAGAATGACAGTACATTATCAAAAACTTAACCAGGTGGTGACTCCAATTGCAGCTGCTGTTCCAGATGTAGTTTCATTGCTTGAGCAAATTAATACATCTCCTGGTACCTGGTATGCAGCTATTGATCTGGCTAATGCCTTTTTCTCCATACCTGTTTTGAAGGACCATCAGAAGTAGTTTACCTTCAGCTCGCAAGGTCAGCAATATACCCTCACTTGCCTACCTCAGGGCTACATCAACTCTTTAGCCCTATGTCATAATTTAGTCTTCAGGGAACTTGATCATCTTTCTATTCCACATCACACTGGACCATTACATTGATGACATTATACTGATTGGACCTAGTAAGGAAGAAGTGTCAATGACTCTGGACTTATTGGTTAAACATTTGTGTGTTAGAGGGTGGGAGATTAGTCCCACAAAAATTCAGGCACCTTGCACCTCAGTGAACTTTCTAGGGGTCAGGTGGTGTGGGGCGTTTTGAGATATTCCTTCTAAAGTGAAGGATAAGTTATGGCATCTGGTTGCTCCCACAACTAAAAAGGAGGCACAATGCCTAGTGGGCTTCTTTGGATTTTGGAAGCAACATATTCCTCATTTGGGTGTGCTACTCCAGCCTATTTATCACGTGACTCGAAAAGCTGCTAGTTTTGAGTGGAGCCCAGAACAAGAGAAGGCTCTGCAACAGATTCAGGCTGCTGTGCAAGCCGCTCTGCCACTTGGCCCTGTGATCCAGCTGATCCAGTAGTGCTTGAAGTGTCCATGGCAGACAGAGATGCTGTTTGGAGTCTTTGGCAGGCCCTATTGATGAATCATAGCACAGACCCTTAGGATTTTGGAGCAAAGCTCTGCTATCCTCTGCAGATAACTACTCTCTTTTTGAGAAACAGCTTTTGGCTTGTTACTGGGCCTTAGTAGAGACTGAACGCTTGACCATAGGACACCAAGTCACCAAGCAGCCTGAACTGCCCATCATGAACTGGGTGTTGTCTGACCCACAGGGTCATAAAGTTGGACATGCACAGCAGCACTCTATTATTAAATGGAAGTGGTGTATACGAGATTGGGCCCAAGCAGGACCCTAAGGCACAAGTAAGTTGCATGAGGAAGTGGCCCAAAGCCCATGGTCTCCGCACTACCTTCCATCTCCCAGTCTGTACCTGTAGCCTCATGGGGAGTTCCTTCTGATCAGTTGACTGAGGAAGAGAAAACTCATGCCTGGTTCACAGATGGCTCTGCGTGATATGCAGGCACCACTCGGAAGTGGACAGCAGCAGCACTACAGCCCCTTTCTGGGACCCCCTGAAGGACAGTCGGGAAGGGAAATCCGCTCAATGGGCAGAACTTCAGGCAGTGCACCTGGTTGTTCACTTTGCTTGGAAGGAGAAACGGCCAGATGTGCGATCGTATACTGATTGATGGGCTGTGGCCAATGGTTTTCCTGGATGGTCAGGGACATGGAAGGAACATGATTGGAAAGTTGGAGACAAGGATTTATGGGGAAGAGGTATGTGGACAGACCTCTCTGAATGGGCCGAAGAAGTGAAGATATTTGTCTCATGTGCATACTCACCAAAGGGTGACCTCAGCAGAAGATGATTTTAACAATCAAGTAAATAGGATGACCCGTTCTGTGGAAACCAGTCATCCTCTTTCCCCAGCTACTCCCATCATTGCTCAATGGGCTCATGAACAAAGTGGCCATGGTGGCAGGGATGGAGGTTATGCATGGGCCCAGCAACAGGAGTTAACTCACCAAGGCTGACTTGGCTACAGTCACTGCTGAGTGCCCAATCTGCCAGCAGCAGAGACCAACCCCGTGTCTCCGATATGGCACCAACCCCATGTCCGCGATATGGCACCATCCCTCAAGGTGATCAGCCAGCAACCTGGTGGCAAGCTGATGACATTGGACCACTTCCATCATGGAAAGGGCAGCGTTTTGTCCTTACTGGAATAGACACTTATTCTGGATATGGATTTGCCTTCCCTGCACACAATGCTTCTACCAAAACTACCATCCGTGGACTTACAGAATGCCTTATCCACTGTCATGGTATCCCACACAGCATTGCCTCTGATCAAGGAACTCACTTCACGGCAAATGAAGTGAGGCAGTGGGCCCATGCTCATGGAATTCATTGGTCTTACTATGTTCCTCATCATCCTGAAGCAGCTGGCTTGATAGAACGATAGAATGGCCTCCTAAAGACACAATTATGGTGCCAGCTAGGTGGCAATACTTTGCAGGGTTGGGGCAATGTTCTCCAGGAGGCTGTATATGCTCTAAACCAGCGTCCAATATATGGTGCTGTTTCTCCCATAGCCAGGATTCATGAGTCCAGGAATCAAGGGGTGGAAATGGGAGTGGCACCACGCACTATTACCCCTAGTGACCCACTTGCAAGATTTTTGCTTCCTGTCCCCTCGACCTTATGCTCTGCAGGTCTAGAGGTCTTAGTTCCAAAGGGAGGAATGCTGCTACCTGGAGACACATCACTGATTCCATTGAACTGGAAGCTAAGAATGCCACCTGGCCACTTTGGGCTCATTATGCTTCTGGATCAACAGGCAAAGAAGGGAGTAACCATACTGGCTGATGTGATTGATCCTGATTACCAGAGGAATTTAGATTGATATTACATAATGGAGGTGAAGAAGAGTATGTCTGGAATGCAGGAGGTTCCTTAGGGCGTCTCTTAGTACTACCATGCCCTGTGATTCAAGTCAATGGAAAACTGCAGCCACTCAATTCTGACCTGACTGCTAATGGCCCAGACCTTCAGGAATGAAGGTTTGGGTCACCCCACCAGGCAAAGAACCACAACCAGCTGAGGTGCTTTCTGAGGGCAAAGGCAATACAGAATGGGTGGTGGAAGAAGGTAGTTCTAAATACCAATTATGTCCACATGACCAGTTGCAGAAATGAGCACTGTAATTGTCATGAGTATTTCTGCTTTGTATATGTGTATCAAATATTTTTGATTTCTTCACTTATAAAATGTAAGATGTAAATGGGGCTAGTGTGTTTTCGCTTGTACGAGTGTTAGTAGTATCAAGTTAGGTACAAGTATGACTTTGTAATTGTCTTTATTCAGGGATTATGTCTGGTTTGGGGAGATGTGTACAGGTGCCGAGTTAATAAGGGGTGGACTGTGAGGGTTAAGATTGTGTGTCTACTTGGCTGGGCCATAATTCTCAGTGTTTATATGTGATCACTCCATGATGGGATTTGCTGTGAGTAGCCAATCAGTTGAAAAGGAGTTTCCTTGGGCGTGTGGCCTGCATCCAAATATAAGTGGACATTCTGGCTTTTGCCTGCTCTGGATCCTGCAGCTGCCTCCTGTTCTTCTGACCTCCAGTTTTTGGGACTTGAGCTAGCAGCTTACCTGCTGATGTTGGGATTCGCTGATCTTCACAGCCTGTGAGCAAAAGCCCTGCTCTCCGACCTGCCAATCTTGGGTTTGCCAGCCCCTGCAGCCATGTGAATCAGGAGAAGCCTCTATCCTGATCCATGGACTTGGGACATTCCAGCCTCTACAATCGCATGAGATAGAAATCTCTCTCTATGTATATTTATATGCTTTACTGGTTTTGCTTCTCTAGAGAGCCCAGCCTAAGACACATGGCGTCTGTCTTCCCCTGTATCTATTCTCCCCTTTATGAGACGCCACTCAGAAGGGATTAGGTTTAGGACCCACCCTGCTCAGTGTAACCTCATTAACATAACAAAAGTAAACCCCTATTTCCAAGCAGGGCCCTGTTTGAAGGTGTAGGGGCAGGACCTCCTTTCCTTTGGGGGACACAGTTCCCTCCATAACAGGGGCTTCTCTCCAGCGCAGGGCCTCACTCCCTCCTGCATCTTCCCTGCAGCTGCGGTCCCTGACCCCCCTCCACATCGCCGCTGCCCTCCCTGGGGCGGAGGGTGTCCGGATAACAGAGCTGCTGCTCCACGCCATCACTGACGTGGATGCCCAGGCGGCCGACCAGGATGAAGTGTACCAGCCATGCAGGGTGCGTCCCCTGGGGCCTCGAGGGGGTGGAGCGTTTGCTGGAAGCCCCAGGAATTCTCTTTTTGAATTCATCTGTGCCTGGGTGGTACAAATGGGTAAGTGATTGGCTACTTGCCTGATGGTTGAAGGCTCACACCCACCCAGAGGTCATGGAAGAAAGTCCTAGTGATCTGCTTCCGAAAGGTCACAGCCTTGAAAACTCTATGGAGCAGTTCTACTCTGCATACATGGGGTGCCATGAGTCAGAATCGACTCAACAGCCACTAGCAAAAGCAACTGTCCATTGTGGCAATACGTCACTATTAATTTACTTGTAGCTGCTGGGGTTGCTCATGGTCTGGGCCCCCATCCTGGCTGGTGACTGGCTGTGTGGGCCTCAGGCCATGCACAGTAAGCACCATAGCAGCTGAGCACAGCAGGCCCCAGGACTAGGGGCGCCAGAACGGCCAACCCCCCCATGAAATTGCTTAGCAGGCAGCTCATTCTCATGCCGAGAGGCAGGAATAATTGATCAAAATGAGTGAGTGAAGAACCTGTTTTTCAGGCTGCTCAATGCAGCATCGGGATCTGAGAAACCCAGATGGGAGTCCAGGGGGTCCTCATGGGGATAATGGGGCCCCTTCCTGAATGTCAGTCCTTGTTGAGGGGCTTCTTGCCTACGTGGGTCACCAGGGCTGCAGAGTCAGCAGTGTCAGCTCCTGGGCTGGGTCTCCCCCTGGCCCAGACCCCATCCCCCGCCTCCCCCTGACCCCCCTGCCGTGTGCAGCAGAGGGACCTGTCCCCTGCAGCCCCTGTGCAGCCTCAGCCGGCCTGTCCCTCCAGGCCTCTAACTTCCTGCTGTCCGAGAGGCTGGGCCTACCCTGCTCAGTGTGACCTGAGGAGGCCTGACTGTGAGTGGTCGCTCCAGACCTCTGTACCACTTCCCTGCTGGGCTCTGAGCTCCAGGAACGCCAGGAGGGGCTGGTGCCAGACACAGTCCCACCATTGCCCTGTGGTGGCCGCTGGCCTTGGGGCAACTACAGACCTGGGCAGGAGAGACCCTCACGGCCCCCCTCAGAGAGCATCCTGTCCTCACCGAGCATGGCCCCCCATCCACAGCTCTGCGTTTGCAGGGACAACACGGCAGCCGTGGCCCAGGGCTCTGGAGATCCAGAGGTGGGTGGCTAGGACCCCCTGCTGTGCCACATGACAGGGAGGAGGGGGCCCAGCAGGAAGGGAGCAGGGTCTTGGGCGGGGCTTCCAGGGGATGATGCCTTGGACAGAGGTGGGACATGATGGTCTTAGAGGCAAGATGGCCCGGGGATGCGGGACTCAGGGCAGTGCAGCCTGCAGTTGGGGCCACACTGCGATCTGGCCTCCTAAACCCCAGTGTGGTCTCTGGGCTGCCTCTCATTTCCTCCACGAGGGACAAGATCCCAAGGGCAGTGGCCCCGTTGTCTTTGCTGTTGTGTCCCCACAAAGCCCTGGGCAGCCCTGCACGGGCAGGGACTCCTGGGCTCTGTGCCCGTTGGGTGTGCGTGGGTGTGCATGCATGGGGGGGAGGGCAGAAGGCAGAGGATGCTGGCCCCTGTGGATGTGGGGCGCAGGGGACTTTGCACACGAGTCCCAGGCGTTAGCCTTCGGGAGCCATGGGAAGCTCCCGAGATCCGCGGTCTGGAGTCCACGCACTGTCTGCAGATGCAGCGCTGGGGTTGGGGTGGGGGACCCTGAAGGTCATGTGGGGCTGGTTCGGGGGCGAGTCCCTGACCCCTTCGTGTGCACGCAGGTGGACCTGCTGTCATCCTCATCTCTGAAGCTCAACAATGAGCCGGGCCCACCCAGCATCTACTATACGCAGCGCGCAGCGCCCCCTGAGGGTGGCCGGACCGCACTGCATGTGGCCTGCGAGCGTGAGGACGACCACGAGGTGGGTGGGCGGGGGGAAGATGAGGTGAGCGAGTCGGGAGTGCGGTGACCACGAGGTGGACAGGGCGGGGGGAAGATGAGGTGAGCGAGCCGGGAGTGCGGTGACCACGAGGTGGGCAGGGCGGGGGGAAGATGAGGTGAGCGAGCGGGGAGTGGGGTGACCACGAGGTGGGTGGGTGGGGGGAAGATGAGGTGAGCGAGTCGGGAGTGCGGTGACCACGAGGTGGGCAGGGCGGGGGGAAGATGAGGTGAGCGAGCGGGGAGTGTGGTGACCACAAGGTGGGTGGGCGGGGGGTGGGGAACAAGAACAAGGTGAGCTGTGCCCAAGCAGTCCTCAGGGCCCTGTTTCCTCAAGAAGCACAGCTGGGGTGGGAGGTTGGGTGGTGAGGATGGGGAGGCAGTGGCAAGAGGGTAGGAGGGAGCCTGTGGTGTCAGTGCCTTGGGCCCTCCTGCCTGGGGGTGAAGGGCAGGAGGTGAAGAGGGCAGCATGGAACTGTCCTTCTGTCCAGACAATGCTCTTTCAGTAGAGTGCAGGGCGTGTCCATCCCAAGTTAGCATTCTGTCATGCTCTGGTCGTCCTATGTGACTGCTGAGCCTTGGTGAAGGCAACTGTTCCTCTAGTCACAGCTGCTGCTATAGTCATGCCTCCTGACTGTTCGCTTGTCCTTTGAAAACAAGCTTTAAATCAGTTTGTGCATCAACTGGTCTTCCTATTTTCTTTCTGGAAATGATGCATGTTTAGAAAACATTTTATCTTCTCAGTTTGAGATTGCATCCATGCATCCATCCATGCATCCATGCATCCATCCATGCATCCATGCATCCATCCATGCATCCATCCATCCATGCATCCATGCATCCATGCATCCATCCATGCATCCATGCATCCATCCATCCATCCATCCATCCTCCGACCCACCCACCAACCCATCCACAATCCGTCTACTCACCCATCCACACATATACCCATTCATCTATCCATCCATGTATCCATCCATCCACCCACCCACTCGTCCATCCGTCCATCCGTCCATCTGTCCATCCAATATTTAGAACAATTTCTGCCTGCCAGGAAGGTGCCGGTATGGAAAGAGTAACAATTATTGACTAAATCAATTTTGTGATTGCACTTAAGTGAATGATCAAAGTCAGGTGCTCTTTAGGAGTCGGGGTGCCCCTCTAACCTGTTGTACTTCTTCCTTTCTCCCTACCCAGTGTGCCAGGGACATAGTCAGACTCCTCCTTTCCCACAGAGCGAATCCCAACACGCTGTGGAGTGGCCACTCTCCACTCTCCCTGTCCATCGTCAGTGGTAATGACCTGGTGAGCATGTTCTGTACCCTCTGACCCCTGCACCTTGTGGTGTTTGTCTCTAGTGCTTACCCACCCCTACATCTGTAGCTGGGATTTGCTGCATTGGTGGCATGAGCATGGCAAGGTGTAAGGGGCGTGAAGAGGCTGCTCCAGCTTGGATGGAGCTCTTTAGTGAGGGAAAGGGAGGAGCATAGAAAGGAGAGAGGATGAGAGTCTGGCTGGGAAGATGCTTCCTCGTCAGGCTTGGGTCATAATCTCAGCCCCTCCCAGAGGAACCAACCCAGTGTGCTCCTCTGTGAGACAGGGTGGCAATGGGACTGTGGGGCATTGGGGTCCAGGTGACGAGGCCATAGGCAGTGCTCAGGTGGTGCCTCAGTGTGGCACCCAGGCTGGGGGCCATCAGTGTGGTCAGTACCAGCATGGCCTGGCTCTGGGGATTTTCTGCATGTAAGGAAGCTGACTCATTGGTTACCAACAAGCCTGTCTGTGTGTCCAGATCGTGAGGGAGCTTCTGTCCCATGGAGCTGACCCAAACCTGCCCCTGACCAAGGGCTTGGGCAATGCCCTGTGTATGGCCTGCGACCTGACTTATGAGCACCAGCGGAGCACAGACAGCAAGCTGTCCCTGGTGAGTGGGATCCAGGGGGGGTCTGAGGGGGAGCACAGACAGCAAGCTGGCCCTGGTGAGCGGGGTCCAGGGGGGTCTGAGGGGGAGCACAGACAGCAAGCTGGCCCTGGTGAGCGGGGTCCAGGGGGTTCCAGGGGGAAGTACAGACAGCAAGCTGTCCCTGGTGAGTGAGGCCCGGGGGGTACAGGGGGGAGCACAGACAGTAAGCTATCCCTGGTGAGCGGGGTCCAGGGGGGTCTGAGGGGGAAGCACGGACAGTAAGCTGGCCCTGGTGAGCGGGGTCCAGGGGGGTCTGAGGGGGAAGCACGGACAGTAAGCTGGCCCTGGTGAGCGGGGTCCAGGGAGGTCCAGGGGGAAGCACGGACAACAAGCTGGCCCTGGTGAGCGGGGTCCAGAGGGGTCCAGGGGGGAGCACGGACAAGCTGGCCCTGGTGAGTGGGGTCCAGGCGGGTCCAGGGGGAAGCATGGACAACAAGCTGGCCCTGGTGAGTGGGGTCTGGGGGGAGCATGGAAGCAAGCTGTCCCTGGTGAGTGGGGTCCAGCGGGGAGCACGGATAGCAAGCTGTCCCTGGTGAGCTGGGTCCAGGGGTTCTCGAGCTCCTGCGTAAGCCCTTGATGTGGTGCCCACTTCTGGCAGGGAAGGATTGTTCTTTCATCTTACTCTGTGTTGGAAAGGACAGCTATGTTTTGCCTTTATTATTTTATGGGCCTTAAAAAGGGTGAAGTAGCAACACAACTCAACCAAAATTCCTTAAAGCTTGTCTGTCTCAGGGGAAATAGCCTCCAAGGAATGTATGTGCCATCACTTAGGCCTGGCTGCAGAAAGGCTGGGTTTCTCTACCTGCGGGTGGGCTTTTCTTAGAGGCTTAGTGAAAGGGCCAGCTGGGAAGGCAGTGGTGGTGGGTCTCCTGCTCACGGACAGCAGCGCTCAACATTCCAGGAGCTGCTTGTCCAGGAGGACTTGTGCAGCAAATTGGAGCCCTGCTTTGTAGGTACATCTCAGCCTGGCCTCCTGGGCACCTCCTCTTTCCTTGCTCGTCCACCCCCTGCCCTCTCATCCCCTGGACTCCAGGCACTCTTCCTCTGCAGCTCAGCTTCAGGCAGGGCCTCCCTCTCTCTGAGCTGTTGCCTGGGGGTCCTAAAGCCTGCCAGTCCCTGTTCACACCATGGCGCAGCCCCTCTGTTGGCCCCGTGGTCACTGTTCTATACTGGCCTCGTGGCATCACTGAATGGACCAGGCCCAGTGGGCTCCTTGCCCTCTCACTCGATCTTGGTACATGCTTTGGCTCCTGACTCACTGTAAGCATGAGGGAAAGGGAGAGGGATGGAGAAGGAGGCAGAGGGAGAAGGAATTCTTCTGTATAGAACCTTTCCTTTTCCCCTAGGATCTTTGTTGTTGTTGTTGTTAGGTGCCATGAAGTCAATTCTGACTCATAGTGACCCTGTGTACAACAGAATGAAACACTGCTCAATCCTGCACCATCCTCAGAATCATTGGTATGCTTGAGCCCATTGTTGCAGTCACTGTGTCAATCCATCTTGTTGAGGGTCTTCCTCTTTTTCACTGACCCTCTACTTTACCAAGCATGATGTCCTTCTCCAGGGACTGATCCTCCTGATAACAAGTCCAAAGTATGTGAGATGTAGTCTCGCCATTCTTGCTTCCAAGGAGCATTCTGGTTGTACCTCTTCCAAGATAGATTTGTTTGTTCTTTTGGCAGTCCATGGTATATTCAATATTCTTCGCCAACACCACAATTCAAAGACGACAATTCTTCTTCAGTCTTCCTTATTTATCTTTATTTATTCCTGTGTTTATAGGATCTTTGGTTACCCTAAAATACAGTTCAAATTAGATGGATCAATGCTGGATCCTTTCCCTTTAATTTTTTGTTATTTGTCCAACAAGGAGCCCTGGTGGTGCAGTGATTAGGTGCTCGGCTGCTACTGAAAGGTCAGTGGTTAGAACCCACCATCCACTTGATGGGAGAAAGATGTAACAGTCTGCTCCCATAAAGATTAGAGCCTTGGAAACCCTATGGGTAGTTCTACTCTGTCCTCTAGGGTTGCTATGAGTTGGAATCGACTCAATGGCCGTGGGCTTGGTTTTAGGTATACGTCTAGCAAGTTTTGTTTTTGCTTCTCTCTGCCATCTTCCTCCTTTTGAATATCGATATGAACCCATGACTTTTCTTTCTTTCTTTTTTTTAATTCCTGGTTTGATTATTCCAAAATCTCTGTCATATCTGTCTGGTTCTGATGTTTGTCCTGTCTCCTCAGACTGTGGTTTTTTTTTTGCTTTCTTAGCATGCCTTGTCATTTTTTGTTGAAAGCTAGACATGATGTATTGGATAAGAGGAACTGAGGCTCTTTTAGTTGTGATCCCCCGTAAAGCCCTGTTGATGTTGACGTGGTAGTAACGTGTGTGGGGGGGCATTCTATAACTCTGTGATGAGGTCTCAGTCTTTTTGTGAACCTGTGCCCCTGGATTGTGACCTAAACAAGTGCTTTTCAGATTTTTTTTTTTTTCCACCCATTAGGAGAAAGAGGAAGGATGGAGTTGTGTATTTCCCCTCACCCATGGAAAGCTAGAGGAGGCTGGCTTTGGGTATTTCCCTTCCTCCATGTTGATTGATGTTGTTTTTTGTTGCCATCAAGTCAGCCCCTGACTCATGGTGACCCTGTGCACAATGGAACAAAACACTGCCCAGTCTTGCAGCATCTGCATGATTGGTTACCAGTCAGACTGTTGTGATCCATAGGGTTTCCACTGGCTGATTTTTGAAAGCAGATTGCCAGACCTTTCTGTTGTTGTTGTTGTTAGGTGCCGTTGAGTTGGTTCCAACTCATAGCAACCCCATGCACCTCAGAACGAAACATTGCCCGGTTGTGCGCCGTGCTCACAATCGTTGTTATGCTTGAGCCCATTGTTGCAGCCACTGTGTCAGTCCATCTGGCTGAGGGTCTTCCTCTTCTTCGCTGACCCGATACTTAACCAAGCATGATGTCCTTCTCCAGGGACTGATCCCTCCTGACAACCTGTCCAAAGTAGGTAAGACGTAGTCTCACCATCCTTGCTGCTAAGGGGCATTCTGGCTGTATGTCTTCCAAGACAGATTTGTTCATTCTTTTGGCAGTCCATGGTATATTCAATATTCTTTGCCAACAACACAATTCAAAAGTGTCAATTCTTCTTCTGTCTTCCTTATTCACTGTCCAGATTACACATGCATACGATGGGACAGAAAATACCATAGCTTGGGTCAGGCACACCTTATTCTTCAAGGTGACGTCTTTGCTTTTCAACACTTTAAAGAGGTCTTTTGCAGCAGATTTGCCCAATGCAATGTGTCTTTTGAATTCTTGGCTGCTGCTTCCATGGATGTTGATTGTGGATCCAAGTAAAATGAAATCCTTGACAACTTCAATCTTTTCTCCTTTTATTATGATGTTGTTTACTGGTCCCATTGTGAGGATTTTTGTTGTCTTTATGTTGAGGTGTAATCCATACTGAAGGCTGTGGTCTTTGACCTTCATCAGTAAGTGCTTCAAGTCCTCTTCACTTTCAGCAAGCAAGGTGTGTCATCTGCATAAGGCAGGTTGTTAATGAGTTTTTCTCCAATCCTGATGCCCCGTTCTTCTTCATATAGTCCAGCTTCTCAGATTATTTGCTCAGCATACAGATTGAATAGGTATGGTGAAAGGATGCAACCATGACACACACCTCTCCTGACTTTAAACCACGAAATATCCCCGTGTTCTGTCCGAACAACTGCCTCTTGATCCATGAACAGGTTCCTCATGAACACAATTAAGTGTTCTGGAATTCCCATTCTTCACAATGTTATCCATAATTTGTTGTAATCCACACCGACAATTGTCTTTGCATAGTCAATAAAACATAGGTAAACATCTTTCTGGTATTCTCTGCTTTCGTGGGGTGCTTTCTGAAAGCAGAGACCTTTCTAGGCTCTGAAAAAACCCACCTTGATTAGGTTCTATTAAAGCAGTTTCTACTGAAGGCAGGCCATTGCTAGGGAGAACTATTTCAAAATGCTTCTTTTTACCATTCCCCAGAAGCAGGAGGGGATTTTTCCCTGACCTTCACCAAAGCTCCTAGAGGTAAAACTCAGGAAGTGTGGGGGCTCTCCCAGGGCTAGTGGGTGGCCCCACTTAGAATCCAGGGCAGAGAATGTCCCATAGAAGGATCAGTGGTTCTAGCCTGCTGGTCCCTTGAGAATTCTTCAAAGCCACATTTGGGGACCAGTCACCCCCAGCCACCCCTTCCTCTAGCAGGGAAGGTTGCAATCTTCTCTGAGCGGTAGTAGGTGGGGTCAGAGTCCTCACAGCATGGTTTAGGATTTCAGAGCTGAGCCCTCTGGGCAATGGGGATGTCTAGAGTGTGCCCATGGCATCAGAGCTGAGGTGGCATGGAGGAGGAGGTCACAGCAGAGGTGTGGAGCTGAGGATGGGGGGGCTGCTGATGGCAACTGTCAGCTGTGACACCAACAGAACCCTGCTGCGCGAGCACAGCTGAGTCCACTAGACTTGCTGAGTCCACTAGACTCACCTTGAGGAATCTCTGAGGAGTTCTAGGAGGGAGGCGAAGCGGGAGAAGTTAGGCAGGGTTTTAGGGCCTGGCTCGGGGTTGTAAGCCTGGTGTTGTGAGCAGAGGGTGGCTTAGTTGGCATTGGGCAGAGTTTATGAGATTCTGATTTTGGGTGTGTGGGCACGGGGTGGGTGGCGAGGGGCTTGAGGAGTAGGTTGTTGAGTGGCTACAGTCCCGGTAAGGAAGCTCTCTCTGTTGTTCCATGGTGGGAGCTTCTAGGGGCAGGGATCTCTTGGGGCACATCCTTGGTTACAGTCCTAGGGTAATGTCCAATGACACAGTGGCTAAGTGCTCAGGCTGCTAACCAAAAGGTCAGCAGTTTGAATCCACCGGCTGCTCCTTGGAAACCCTATGGGGCGGTTCCACTTGTTCTATAGGATTGCTATGAGTCGGAATCGACTCAACACCAGAGGGTGTGTGTGTAAGGATGGTGTAGCCCAGGGACACAGACCATGTGGTCTGTTCTCACCGTGGGTGATATGCTTTCCAAGGACAGCAAGAGCTGGGGGGGTGGGAGGGAGGCGTCTGGAGACTGGCGGTCAGGAGTAGGACCTGCATACTGCAGTATGGCCGGGGGGCATGGGAGGGAGGCATCCAGAGTAGGACCTGCATACTCAGTGTGGCCGGGGGCGTGGGAGGGAGGCGTCTGGAGACCGGGCGTCTGGAGTAGGACCTGTATACTGTAGTGCGGCCTTATTACCCAAACGAAGAAAACCTCTATTTCCAAACAGGGTCGTAGTTACAGGTTACAGGGGTTAGGACTTCAGCATGACGTCAGTGGGACACACATTTCGCCCATAAAGCGTTCTCCTCAGACATTGGGCCAGAGAGAGAAGACAGTACAGTATAGGGTCAAGTGCAGAGGAACAGCTGCCTGCCTTCGGGGAGCTCTGAGTAGCGGGGGTTCCCTGTGCCACGCCCTCATGTGGGTGTCGGGGCTGTGATGGTGAATAGGGCAGGCCCGGTGTTTACCCTCATGTCGCTTACAGCGGGGCTGTAACCAAACGCAGGCGGCGGTCAGGGCTCCTAGGGGCAGCTGCAGGGTGCTGGGCACTGCAAAGTCCAGACCTCGTGGGGTGGGTGTCGGGATGCCCCCAAGGAGTGGCCCTGCCATGACTTCACCGAGACGGTCGTTAGCATGGCCCAGCCCTGACTCCTCGTCCCTAAAGCCAGCATTTCTACCCTCTTGTCTGGCTGACTCCCTGCACACCTGCAGTGGCAGCCCCTGGGGACACAGGTGAGCAGTGTCCTGTCTGCCCTCAGCCAGCCTGTGAGTGTGTGGAGACGGTGTGGAGACCCGCTGCCCTTGGGTCCAGGGACAGGTGCATCTGCCCTGGTGTGCACCCTCTTCCAGGTGGGTGTCTCCTGGCACCTGCATCCTCCTGGCACCCACATTCCTCCTGGTGCCCCCATTCCTCCTGGCACCCGCAAAGAGCAATGATGGGGTTTTGTTCCCACAGATTGACCGTCTCATCAGTTATGGGGCTGACATCCTGAACCCCGTGACGCTCATGCAGGGGGACAAGGTTGCCGTGGGCACGGCTGTCGACTATGGATTCTTCAAGTTCTTCCAGGTATGGCTTGGACTCTTGCTGCCCAACCTTTGCTGGTGGGATCTGCAGCGTGGGCACAGCCACCCTGACCACGGCCTTTAGTATTTCCTGGGCAAGGCTGGCCTGAGGTCCTCCCAGTGCGGAGGCCAGCACTCCCCGGCACACAGCGTGAGCTCAGCGTGGTCTGCGTGTCCTCACGGTGCCTTTTCACAGGGGCACAGGAGGGGCGGGCTGCCTGCTAACTCACCTGGTGTCCCGCCAGATGGCTGAGCTGGGACCGGGATCCCGGACACCTGACCCTTGCTGGGCTGGGAGTGGGGTTCTGCCCTTCTGGGGCAGCCCTGGCCCTGACCCTGTGGGGTGCTTGCAGGATGGGCTGGGAGTGGGGGTCTGCCCTTCTGGGGCAGCCCTAGTGCTGACCCTGTGCGGTGCTTGCAGGATGGGCTGGGAGTGGGGGTCTGCCCTCCAGGGCTGGGTGGGCTGGGCCCCGGGTCCCGGCTGACCTCTCTGGCGCTGCAGGACCGAAAGATTGCCCACTGCCCGTTCCACGCGCTGCTGCCGGCGGAGCGGGAGACGTTCCTGGCCCGGAAGAGGCTCCTGGAGTACATGGGCTTCCAGCTGCGCCGCGCCGTCTTCACCAAGGAGAGCCAGTGGGACCAGAAGCTGCTGTACCTGAGCAAGAGAGGTGAGTGGGCGCCCATGTGGGTGGGCAGGCGGGTCCCCAGGGCTCCCCACATGCCAGTGCTGCTCAGATCCTGTCTCCACTCCCATCAGCCCCCCAAGCCCACCTGGCGTCCTTTGCTCTGCCCTGTGACATATAACAAGGTTTCCACCTTGTGGAGGAATCCCCGAGGGTCCTGGCTGCTCCCTGAACTCTGGAGGCTGTGGGGCTGTGGGGCTGGGGTGGGGGGCAAGAGGCACCCCCCTGCTGCTGCTCAGCCACCTGCTGGCCGCTCCTCTGGCCTCTTCGCTCCGGACCCCTGAGGAGGTGCTGCTGGAGAGGGTAGGGGAGAGACCCCAGTTGGGGAGAGGCCTTGGCCACCACAGAGCACTGCCCAGGAGCACCATGTCTGTGCTGGGCCTGGCAGGGACACGACACCGAGGGGGCACCCGCGCTGACCTGCCCACGGCGGCGTGGCAGCCCCCTGCTCCCTGAGGCTGTGGACTTCTCCCCGCTCCAGGATGAGCCCCCTGCCCCGACTCGGCCTCTACTGGGCATGCTGTGGGCAGTTGTTTGCTGGGCGGTCAGAGGCTGGGGAACCCCAAGTCTGCCTCTCCTGCTGAGCCAGGTGGGTGGCCGTGGGCTGCGCAGTCTGGGTGGCGTCTCAGCGGCTCCACAGGGTGACTCAGGGCACAGGAGGCCATGCCTTGGTGACTCCTGCTCCCCAGGCCTAACTGCCCCTGTCTCTGCAGCGGAGCTGGCCCCCAACCACAGGCTGAAGAAGAGATGTTCGTTGCCCTACAAGTGTCCGGACGGGGAGGAGTCAGAGGCGTAAGTGGGTCATTGGTGCTCGGAACCCGGGCCTGGGGTCTGGAAGGTGCAGCTGGGCCCAGCCGAAGCCTCTGCCCTCCCAAGACAGCCCCTGTCCAGCCCAGCTGACCAGGTTGTCTTGCACAGGTCACGCTGCACTGTGGCCCAGGGCTGGGTGTCCAAGCCACAGACGACTTAGGCTGGTTGTAAATGCATACCGCAGATCCCTGCGTGGCACAAACGGTCTGCACTCTGCTGCTAACCCAAAGGTCGGAGGTTCAAACCCACCCAGCAGGAGATAAGCCTAGTGAAATAGTCCCGTTAAGATTCCGGCCAAGAAAACCCTATGGAGCAGTTCTTCTCTGTAACACACAGGCTCACCATGAGTTAGAATCAACTCAATGGCACACAACAACCAGGTCAAACCGTAAAAAAAAAATTAAAAAGAAGTATAATTTATATGCTAAGAGAGGAGAGAAAATGGAATTATATAGAATGCCCGATTACAACCAGAGAAGAGCAAATGATAATCGGACGAGTGTTTCTGTGACCGGAAGGCGTTTCCCAGCAGGCAGGTGGCTCTGAATCCGCAGCTCCGGTCGGCAGCTCCAGTGTCTGCCCCGGTCAGACCCAAAGCCCCGAGACCTCAGGCCCCCTGAGAGCACTGTCTTAGCTGCAGCATTCTGCCTCTGCACAGTGTCTCCCACCTCACTTTCTAAGGAACATGGAGAGGACCGTTGGGGCCAGGGAAGCTTGAGGCATCAGCTACCTAGCCTTATTGCTGTTGGGTGTCATCGAGTCGCTTCTGACTCACAGCGTCACCATGGGACAGAGCACAACTGCCCCACTGAGTTTCTCAGGCTGTTGTCTTTACGGGAGCAGATCACTAGGTCTTTCTCCTGTGGAGCCACTGGGTAGGTTTGAACCATCGACCTTTTGGTTAGCAGCTGAGTGCTTAACTGTTGCGCCACCACGGCTCCTTTACCGAGGCTTGGTCTCTGTAGTCTATCTAAATTCTCCCCTTGATTCTCTGACCTGGCAAGGGCCTCAGTGGTTGGGTGGGCCATCGAGGGATCTGAGTGCAGGGCACATCTGTGGGAGCACAGCACCCCCTCCCCACTCTTAGACCTCCCCAGGTGGTGTGTAGATCAGTTGACAAAAATGTCATAATCAGAGGCTCGAAAGAACCTAAACCACATTCCCCCTAGGAGAATGGACTGTGTTTAATTGAAAGCATTTTTCTGAAACATTCTCATGATTCATGGTGGTTATGTTCTACCGAATTGCTACAAACACTGAATTAGTGAATACTGAACCGTTGCTCCTACGGGAAATGCAGGGTTAGGTTCCTGTGAGCCTCTGGTCACAACATTTTCATCAACCAATCAATACATAACCTTGTGTTATGTGTGTTTCTGTTTAAAGACCCCTTATTGAATATATTGGTCTTGAATGTAGAGTAGCTAAAGTGAATGGAAGAAATGGTGAAGTAAAAGAGCTGAACAGAAGATTTCAAAGGGTGGCTCAAAAAGACAAAGTAAAGTATTATAATGACACGTGCAAAGACCTGGAGTTAGAAAATCAAAAGGGAAGAACACACTCAGCATTTCTCAAGCTGAAAGAACTGAAGTAAAAATTCAAGTCTCGAGCTGCAATATTGAAGGATTCTACGGGAAAAATATTAAACGAAACAGGAAGCATCAAAAGAAGATGGAAGGAATATACAGTCACTGTCCCAAAAAGAATTGGTTGACGTTCAGCCATTTCAGGAGGTAGCATATGATCAGGAACCAATGGTACTGAAGGAAGAAGTCCAAGCTGTACTGAAGGCATTGGTGAAAAACAAGGCTCCAGGAACTGACGAAGTACCAGTTGAGATGTTTCAACAAATGGATGCAGTGCTGAAGTGTTCACTTGTCTACGCCAGAAATTTGGAAGACAGCTACTTGGCCAGCCGACTGGAAGAGATCCATATTTGTGCCTGTTGCAAAGAAAGGTGATCCAAAAAATGTGGAAATTATTGAACAATATCACTGATATTTTATTAATTAAGTAAAATGTTGTTGAAGATCATTTAAAAGCAGCTGCAGTAGTATATCGACAGGGAACTGCCAGAAATTCAAGCCAGATTCAGAAGAGGATATGGAATGAGGGCTATCATTGCTGATGTCAGATGGATCCTGGCTGAAAGCAGAGAATACCAGAAAGATGTTTACCTGTGTTTTATTGATTATGCAAAGGCATTCACCCGTGTGGATCATAACAAATTTTGGATAACATTGGGAAGAATGGGAATTCCAGAACACTTTGTTGTGCTTATGAGGAAACTGTACATGGGTCAAGAGGCAGTAGTTGAAACAGAATAAGGGGATACTGAATGGTTTAAAGTTAGGAAATGTGTGCATCACGGTTGTATCCTTTCACCATATTTATTCAATCTATATGCTGAGCAAATAATCCAAGAAGCTGGAGTATATGAAGAAGAACGGGGCATCAGGACTGGAGGAAGACTCATTGTAAAAACGGCTTGGGGGGCAATGTCTAGCCTCCTCTAACTTCACAAGGGAAAGGAGAATCAAGCTTAACAGCCCAAGGCTAATTCCTGTGAGGCGAGGTCAGACATGCCTCCTCTCTCTGCCATCTTTACCAATTCTGACACCAACCGTCCCTCCCGCGGCACTCTCTACTTCTCTGCTGGGTTTGATAGTTTATTGCAATGGCTACACCAAATTCACAGACCATACTCACGATTATGGGGTTTATTAGGGAAGTAACAGGTTACAATTCAGGCTCAGGAACACTCAGGATACAGTTCTTCCATCAGGACAGCCTCTTCCCAGTCGTGCTCACAGGCACATCTCTACCTGGCCCTCGGCCTCTGCCCAAAGGCACTCAGCTCTCTCTCTCCACGGGCTGGGAAAGCTACCATGCCGTCTCCTGCTGCCAGGTCTCTGCCACCGGTTCTCACCATCTTCAGGGTTATAGCTTTCTCTCTCTCCGTTTCCTGGTTCCAGAAGCTTCTCAGTGCAGGGATCCCAGGTCCAAAAGGTGTGCTGGCTCTTGGCTGTTCTTCTTTGGTGGTGGTGGTATCTTCTCTTTTCCGCCTCTGAAGTGGCTCATTTCAAGCCCAGCAGGATGGCAAAACTGACCAATCACCTTGGTGGGCTACAATTACCCTGTTTGCACAGTCCCGCCCAATCACCTGGGTGGGAGTTACAAAACCGTGGCGAGAAAGGCCACACAAAAGCGATCTATTACACCACACTCATTTACAAAGTGCGATATGCAGATGACACAACCTTGCTGGCTGAAAGTGAAGAGGATTCGAAGCACTTACTGATGAAGATCAAAGACCACAGCCTTCAGTATGCATTACACTTCAACATAAAGAAAACAAAAATCCTCACAACTGGACCAATAAGCAACATCATGATAAACGGAGAAAAGATTGAAGTTGTCAACGATGTCATTTTACTTGGATCCACAATCAACACCCATGGAAGCAGCAGTCAAGAAATCGAATGACGCGTTGCATCGAGGAAATCTGCTGCAAAAGACCTCTTTAAACTGTTAAAAAGCAAAGATGTCACTTTAAGGACTAAGGTGGGCCTGACCCAAGCCATGGTGTTTTCAGTCACCTCATATGCATGCAAAAGCTGGACAATGAATAAGGAAGACTGAAGAAGAATTGATGCCTTTGAATTATGGCGTTGGTGAAGAATATTGAATATACCACGGACTGCCAGAGAAATGAACAAATCTGTCTTGGAAGAAGTACAGCCAGAATGCTCCTTAGAAGCAAGGATGGCAAGACTTTTCTCATAGACTTTGGACATGTTATTAGGAGGGACCAGCCCCTGGAGAAGGACATCATGCTTGGTAAATTAGAGGGTTAGCAAAAAAGAGGAAGTTCCTCAATGAGATGGATTGACACAGTGGCTGCAAGAATGAGCTCAAGCATAACAGTGATTGTGAGGATGGCACAGGACTGGGCAGGGTTTCGTTCTGTTGTACATGGGGTCACTATGAGTTGGAACTGACTCGACAGCACCTAAAGACAACAACAACAGTGAATAGATACTGTTGATTCATTAACACTGGACTCAGCCAATAGCACTGTAACTGGTGTCTGAACGAAGCTTATCTAACACACATATTTTCTGCTTGGAGCACATCACAGCCTTCTTGCACTTAGGAACACTGGACAGCACTTCCACACCGTGCTGGGGACCATTTAACAGCACCTGACTGATGAGTAGCACAGAACCGTGAAAAATGGGACAGTAAACCTACCGCACAAAGGACTCGTGTTTACCGCAGGAGAGCTCTGCCTTTTGGGACCTCAGCGGAGAACGTGTGTGTTGGGCGACTCAACGCTTTTGCTGCTCCTAAGCATGGCTGCAAGGAGCCCTAGTGGTGCAATGGTTAAAGTGCTCGGCCGATAACTGGAAGGTTGGTGGTTTGAACCACCAGCCACTCCACGGGACAAAAGACCTGGCGATCTGCTCCCGTAAAGATCACAGCCTCGGAAACCGTATTGGGGCAGTTCTACTCAGATCTACAGGGTCGCTATGAGTTGGAATCAACTTGACAGCAACAGTTTTGGGTTTTATTTCTGGAAGCATGTCCACAAATGACCAAGACAGCACCAAGCATTGATGTGGGGGTTACGGATACACTTTAGCAAGGAGGCAAATTCCCTAATGCGGACTCTGCGAATAATGAGGAGGGACTATGCCTGAAAAGGTTGTGTGTGGATGGTGGTGGCGGTTATCCTGTTTGTTATAAACATTCTTACTTAACTGTGGAAGCCTGGAGGATGCAGGAGGAATAAAGAAGAAAAGTAAGTTACTAGATTTCTCCCCTCCCGTGATGGACTGTGGACACAGTGGTGTTTCCTTTCAGCCCGTCCCTGTGCACGTGGGCACGTGTGGAACGTGTGTGTGTAAGTGTGCATGCGTGTACATATGCTTGTGTGTGTATGTGTGTTTATGTATATGTGTATGTGTGTACATATACCGGAGTCCCTGGGTGGTGCAAATGGGTAAGCACCCAGCTGCTAACCTGAAGGTTTGAGATTACCCAGAGGCCCCTCCGGAGAAAAGCCTGGTGATCTACTTCTGAAAAATAAGTGGTTGGAAACTCTGTGGAGCACAGTTCTACTCTGACACACACGGGGGCGCCACGGGTCGGAATCGACTCAACAGCAATTGAGCATACACACACAGATACATCCACACTTGCAAAATTGATAGCATTCTATATTTACAGTCATAACTTGCTTTTCTCACTCAACATTACATCACAGGCATTGTCCTGTGTTACATTAAAAATTGTCCCCAACCCCCATGATTGTGGCAATATGAGAGTCCCCAGAATGGATGAGGCGTTGTTCATTTAGCCAGCCCCTTATGGTGAGACTGGCTTGGCTCTGCGGTCTGTGTGTGTTAACTGTTCTTCTAGCTCTGTTCTGAGCATCCCTGGGACGGGCACCTTCAGGCCTCCCATGCCTGTGCCAGCAAGCATGCCTTTACTGAGCACCAGCATAGGACAACGGCCTGGGCCAGGGGCTGGCTGGGGGCTGGCACCGCCACCCTGTCTGGTGGGAACAGCGGGGGTTTAGGTGGAAGTGCCCCTGCATAGGATCCTGGGGTTGGCACGGATCAGGAGGCAGGGGCTGGGCAGGGGCGTGGGGGACCGGCTGACCACACGCTTTGCCTGCAGGATCCCTTTCTTCAAGTTCTGCTACCAGTGTGGCCGCTCCATTGGGGTGCGCCTCTCGCCCTGCACCCGCTGCTACAGCATCCTGACCTGTAGCAAGTTCTGCAAGACCAGAGCCTGGAACGAGTTCCACAAGCGGGACTGCGGTGCTGCCATGCTCATGAGTATGTGTCCCCGAGGGTGACCAGAACCCCTTCAGGCTTGGACCTGTGGGGGCAGGGAGGGCACTGGGCCATACTGGCTCTTGTCCACTGAAGGGGCAACTCTATGCAGTGTTCCAGCCGCTGCCTGGAGAGGACGCCCTCGTCCCCACAGAGCTGGGACATGGTGCCAGGAGTCTCTCTGCTGCACATCTGGGGACTCTGCTGAACACCTGGAGACTCTCTGCTGGACACGAGGGCTCTCTGCCGCACACCTGGGGGCTCTCTCTGCACACCTGGGGGCTCTCT